TTGAAGTCTTGTGAACATGTTGGTGTGAGCAAGAAGACCGAGGTGGAGTTTGACACTTCTATTCATCGAGCGAAGGGTCTTCTAGGTGGTGTTCACGTAGGCATTTGGGGGCCTTCTAAGGAGGCATCATTGGGAGGCTATAGGTATTTGGTTTTTTGTGTTGAGGACTGTTCTAGGCATTTGTGGGTTGCAACCAAGTCCTGTTGGAGTGAAGTCCTAATAGTCAAAAACAGGTGGAAGAAGTGTATAAGCAGAAAGGTAATGCTTTGTTCTTATTTTGGTAGGAAGTTTAAGAGGGGTCCTTTTCTGCATTTGTACCTAGCTCAAGGCAGTTTGAGACACTTCATTGGAAAGAAAACATTGGGGCAACGAGATGAGATGACAGATTTAATGAGCTGTTCCTTACTGGAGGAGGGTTGAGGTTTGATGTCGAGCAGTGGTTTGCAGAGAAGTTTTGGTGATGAGGCTTTGACATATTGGAGTCATCTTATTCATAGGTTGTCGACTGCTGCGTTTGGAGTATTTAGATCTGGTGGAGCTACTTCAGATTTTGGGTTTCTTCGGATATTTGGATGCCCAGCATATTGTCACATCGAGAATGTGAAATTTGATCCGAGTGTATATTTGGGATTCAGGGGCGTGTTTGATTACCACGTATGAGACTCTGATATTGTTATGAATAGTATTGTCATATTTGACTCTCAGTAGGTGGAGAGTGTTGGACATATCATTGGGATATCGTAGCAGGTAAAGAGTGATGCTACTCCACATTAGGTGGAGATTACTCCACGTACTCTAGATCATTCTGTATCGTTTGAGATTCCAACTGAGGTGATACAGATTAGGGATCATGTTGATGTGGATGCAGATGATGAGTTTGCTGATTCGAGTGCTGCTGGTAGACACAGTTGGATTTGACTATGGTCGTTGGTTCACCTCAGGTGGAGGTGTTTGGTTCGTTTCACTTTGAGGCCAGTGGGAGGGTTATCAAGTACAGATTTCTTGGTAATGATAGTGAAGGATTGAGAATCCTTCTAGTTGATTGAGGGTCTTTGGAGGCCATTTGGTGAACTACGCGAGGCTTGATTCGTTGGGCAAGATGATACGTAAGCAGTCATTTTGATGCAGTCGGTTTAGTGAGTTGATACCGACATTTAGAGTTTGTTCGCATTCTCGTTTGGGTTCCTAACTTGTTGTGGATTGAGTTCGTTGTTGTGAATTTGTTTTACTTCGTACTTGATGCAACAAGTGAGACGTTTGGTTTAGTTAGTATCGGCTTAATTTTGGGAAAACTTCACCAATATGGAGAATTGTAGAAACGGCGAAAAACATTAGAGAAGATCAGGAAAAATGGAGTAGATTGGCATTTGGACGCTTGCTGATCGACCGTGAGACAAGCTGCAATCGACCGCAAACGTGCACGAATATAGGGCAATTTTTGGAGCTTTGTCCGATCGACCGCGACGCTTTCGGCAGTCGACCGCCAAACCCTGTAATCGATTTATTGGATTCCGTCATTCTGGCCAGTCGACCGCGGTGTCAAGTGCAGTCGACCGCGCGTCGGGTTTGGGCCTAATTTCGGTTTTCCTATTCTGTTTGGGATTAGTGTTTGGTATAAATACAAACACGTTCTAGGGTTTCTGTGGAGCAGTTGAAAGGGTTGTTTTGAGCACAAAAAAAGAGTTTTTATGAGCTATTGTTTAGGGTTTTGTTTGAGAGATTGAGAGCTTTGTTTGTGAGATTAATTGGTGAGTTTGAGTGATTTTGTAATCCTGATTTGTACTCTCCTTCTCTATTAGTAAAAACTCATCCCCTTCTTGCCCCGTGGACGTAGGCAACTTGCCGAATCATATAAAATTCGTTTGTTTGTGCTCGTGCTGTTGTTGTGATTGTGTTTGGCCTTCTCTCTCAACGTTTGGTTTGTCCTCGGCACACCCAACAATATGTCACTTTAAGTTTGTATAATTTGATCCCTAAAACTTCTAATGTTATTGTAAAACTATACATCATATTAACTATTAGTAATGTGTAATAATATATTAATAGATAATTACATGTCAATAAAGTATTTATAGAAAGAGAATAAAACAGAAAATTGTCCAAAAATTGTACCACGAAACTCATATAGGAATATTACAAAGAGCATGTTTATGTTTAGATAACAGGATAGAAGGTACAAAAAATTAAATTTTAGAAAATATTAGGATATTTAAGTGCAGCAAGATATGTTATATAAAATTAAAAAAAGTGCAGCAAAATACAAGTGGAGGTATATAAGTATAATTTTACTAAAATATAAGGTATTTAAGTTCAGTTAAGCCTATAAAAGATTTGAAATATTTGTTATCTACAAACAATAGTATATGATCCCACTAATAAATAATATCCATCATACAATATGAGGCCACATGCTTAGCTTATATTTATATAATAGATGAAATATGGAAATTTTAAAACATTATACTTTGAATGAGTCTCAAGATTTTAATTATTTTCTAAAATTATATACTTTGCTTGGAAAACTATAGAACAGACTTTTGAAGGACCACTATAAAATGTTGGACATCAAATAAATATTGAACAACTAAAATCCATGATATTGGATTGTAAAAATCAAGGATATGTATGTAATATACTGGGTGTCATATGAGATAACATTCATACATAACATGACATTGTAATATATAATCTAACGTACTAATAAATTTTAAGCATAAGAATTTGCATCAAGACATATGTTTAAGTTTTGAGAGTGGAGAAATTTGGGAGAAGAACCGTGACCTTTGTGGGTTTTGTGGTTTTGATTTTGTTTCCCAAACACAATCCGAACCCGAGCCTACAAACAAAGTAAAAATGACATGATTTTCTCAATATCTTCAAAGGGATATATCGACCATATATTCAATAACGGTCGATATATCAAAAAATCACCAAACAAAAGAAAACAATATAAACATATTACAGAGATAAAGTCTTTAACCCAATATATTGGCTGATATAGCAATATATTGGTTGATATTTAATAGATTGCCTATAAGAGAAAATATGTAAAGGTTATTTAGACATTATAAGTTTTTTATTTTAAATAACAAATGATTCTATGTTATTTCCTCAAAATTTTAAAATTGCTCATAATTTTAGGGATTAATATTAAATTATTAAAAATTTATGGGACAAATTATAAATAAGCCATATTTAAAAGAAGGTTTATTTTTTAAAAAACCCCTCCCAACTATGGGATTGTCTTAACAACACACACTCAATTGATTCAGTTTGACAAAACCCCTTTATTAGGGGGGGTTATAGATAACCCCTCTCAATTTTGGTGCAAAATTAGAAAACGGCTCTCAACTATAGCGTGTCTCATAAAAACTCCCCTAATCTTTTACACTTATATCAACAAACCCCCTTAAAGTAGTTACTTTAATATATGATTTGAACAAAATACCCTCTTGAAGAAAGCAATTTTAATTAAAAAGAAATCTTTAACCGATAATATAATGATCACAACCAATTTACAATTTGTTCCCTCTATATCCCGTCTTTTTCTTCATATGGCAAAAACCAAGGTAATTCTTTTATGATTGATTAATATTTTAGTCTTTTAAAGTCAAATACTTGTCACATAATAGATAAGACTCGATGATATTAGTTTTGAGAGGTTGGATTTAAGTGAGAAAAGCCTACAGAGGTTAAATCAAATTTTTTTTTTAAGTTGAGATAGATTATCTACAAAATGCCCAAAACTTGGCAGGGGGAGGATTGACATGCCCCCATAATTGAGGGGGAGTTTTCTAAAATTAACCCTTAGGCAAAAGTACAACTTAAGTCACATGTGACATTAATTTTACAAGAGTGGAATTTATAGCAAGTCTATCACTCAATGAACTAGTTTAGGTTATTTGTCCTTAAGTTTGTCCTACACTTCAACTTTGAAAATCTTTTAATATAAGAATCTCTAAGAGAAATTTAATATTTATTTTGGATGGGTATATGATCCTTCTGATTCCCCTTATCTTTCATGATTTGTAATAAATTATTTAACAAAATAAATTAAGTTGTCATTTTATATTGCTCACCTTCTTATAAGTTTATGAAGCTCATAGTTTGGATATGAATATTATTGCAGATATTGTATTCTTCTAAGTCCTTAAGCTAAAATTTTAGATGTTGTCTCACATTGGATAGATGTGAATTATTTTATTAAAATAAAATCAATATGAGTGCATAATATGTATAAATCATTCTCAAACTATATTTTATAATTTTTTAAAACTAGGGAGCAATCATTTTGACAGATCAATTAGTAGTTGGGAAGTTGTAAAAAGAGTACAATATCATATTTTGAAATTGATCATATAATTTATATTTTCTTTCTTGATTGAATTTGCACATTCTAACTTAGAAAATTCTAGAAAAAAATTCTTGAATACCTATAATACTCGATCGCTAGATAAACAATAGGTGGAAGTAAACAACATGTGGAAGTGAATTTTTTATAACTGAATAAAATCCTTAATGACTAGATAAAACCTACCATTTTTCAGTGACGAATTCAAGAATTTATTTTTTCATTAACAATAATAGGTTTTTTTTCGTACTGGTCCCTTACATCATTAATATTTTGAAATTTTACATTCAAATTATTAATTAATCTTAAATCGTTAATATTTTAAGGCTTTAAACAATATTATTTCTTTGGAAGACAAAATGTGAAAACTACACATGGAAATATCCAAAAAAATTAATATATCATGATAATTATAAAGTTTTATGCAACCATGTTATAGTAAATAAATAAACTTAAAGTAAATAATTGTGATATTTGACTACGTACAGTACATGTGCATTCCACCTAGAACTAACTAAAACATTCATCTTTTTAAGTGGCTGTAACTTGGCTCAATAAATGAAGAATAAATAAGCATAATCGGCTAAAATAAATAAAACATCATCTTCGTCTGTATTACATATTGCATATATAGAAACATAAACAGATATTCGCAAGTCATATCCTCTTTCACTATATTGCATATAAAGAAACACACACAAGTATAAAATTCCCTTTCTTCATCCTTTCCCGATGAACAATAATCAGAAGGCAGCATGTCAAAAAATTACACTGTTTTACAATAAGATACACTGTTTTACAATAAGATACACTGTTTTACATTTCACCGGTGAGAAACTTTTGAGTAATATTCAAGCATCACCAAAAAATATTGCTTCGGTATGTCAAAAGCTGTGAGATATTGCTTCGGTAAATAAAAATCTGTATTGCTTCACTATGTCAAAATCTGTGAGATATCGTTTCAGTATATCAAAAGCTGCGAGAACAGCAAAAAGAACCCAAGGATTGAATCCATCCATCCCTTCATCTAAGTTTCCATTTCCTCTGCAAAATTAAAAATAAACGAATTCATCGTCAATTGTGAAATTATTACCAAGGAAATACAAACATTATGTGCTAAGTTGAAATCAGAAGTTTCCCAAAAAGCAGAATGTTAGGCACTCTGTGATGTTTCCTTATGTTGGCTTTCAATATAACCAGCAAAATTGACCAACGCGTCGCCGCGACATTAGTTTGAAAAAAAATCACAGTAAATAATGATTCAAACATTTGGTTTAAAAACATCGTACACCTAATAACTCAGGAAAAAATATAGCAAGTTACACTAAAATGTAACAACTCGTACCCCATATAAAGCTGCTGAAATACAAAGTGACTTCAAAATTAATTTGATTAAATCTTTTACGAATCGTTTTGGGAGTAGGTGAGCTGAAAAATAAATGGTGACGGGTGCATAGACAAATTACACTTTTTGAAAGTGACTGAATTTCGAAATAAATGGGGCAAAAGTTTTGAGTTCTTAGGGGAAAAAATCCGTCTACATTTTGCGATGATGTGACATTTATGAGAAAAAACCAAGAAAATAAATTTTGTTTAAAATTACACCTCATACCAAACCCCTTAAAACAAAAATATAGCGAGTATATAGCAAGTGAATGATATACAAACTTAACTCGAGTGTTTGTAGTCTAAGATGATTTTCAAAGTGGGTGGCTTTAAAAATAAATTGGGGTAAAACTTTGGTTTTATAGGCAAATCACCGTTTTTCGAAGTGGGGGATTTAAAAATAAGTTGTGATAAAACTTTGGCTTATAGGCAAGAGAGTCTCTGAAAGTGGGTGGATTCAAAAATAAATTTAGGTAAAATTTTAGCTTTATAGGCAAAAAAATCCCTATAAAACTTTAGAAATATGTGGGTCTAAAAACTAATGAGAGCAAAACTCTGGATTTATACGCAAAACCCAACTTAGGAAGTTGGTTGTTTAAAACTAACTGGGGCTAGAATTTGGGTTCATAGTTAAAAACCCAACTTTGGAAATCGATGGGAGTTAAAACTAAATGGGGCTAAATTTTCGTGTTTAATCTGCACATGGCAAAAGTAGAACACCTTATCCCTCTAATCCCAAGTGTATGACATACCATCAAACTGATTTCTCTTCTAGTCAAAGTTACCATACTTTCTATATACAAAAGTCATAGGGGATGCACTGTAGTCGTGTGTGTGTGTATATAAAAAGAAGTAGCTAGAGAACATCTTTGCTCTAAAGTTTTTTTTTTTAAATGTATATTCTTTCTTTCGGTTGTAAAATATGAAGGAAAGTTTAGGCAGACTGAACATCAAGTAACATTCATACGCTTAATTGCGGATAGACTCCCCTGTAGTATTGATGTTTGGAACTTACTACCTTTTAGCTTGCAGTTAGCAGGTAGACACCTTGAGTAAAAACTTTTTGACCTGAGGCTGAAAGACAGATTGTTTTTTGAAAAATCGACCTCCTGAACAAAGCTAGAGGGTAGCATGTGCAAAGCAATGATACCACTGGGGGTCTATCCGCAACTAATCCAAACTTACAAGAACCCCAAGGATCGAAATATGAGAAGTTTTAGCTAAGGACAAATTTTCAAAAACAACTTGTTTAGAAACTTAATTGTCAAAAACGACCTATTTCAAAATTATTTACCAAATTCGACCCAGTTTCAGCCAGTTGGCTGAAACTGGACCGAATTTGGCGAAAAAAGTTACAAACGTCACGGGACTTCAAGTCCAGTGAAGTTTAAGCCCGTCATAACAAATGTGATTAAGAGGCCCAAAACTTCATGGGACTTAAAATCCCGTAAAGTTTTGTAACATCGCCAACTTCACAGGACTTCAAGTCCCGTGGAGTATCAAGCAGAATTATTAGAGAGCATCGCTCTCTAGAATTCAGCATGCAACTCCAAGGACAAGTTCTGTGGAGTTAGGGCAAGGCCTATATAAGGCCCACCCACACACGCGATTTCTTATCGCGTTGACCCCAAATACAGTTACTCTCTCTCCCCTTCACTACCAAACCAAACCCTAGACCCTTTCTCCTGTCGGCCCCCACCGTCGCTCCTACCACCGCCGCCTTAGACAATCATCACTGTCCGTGATCGATCCCGCTGCCGTCATTGCCGGAGTTCACTAGAAATTAGGACATCGATAAATTTTTGAGAAAATCTTTTTTTTTTAATTCTCCTATTTTTTTATGTATTCTCACTATTTCATGCTAATAACTTGTTTAAATTTAGATTTTGAAATAAATTTTTGAAATTATGAATTTTGTGAATAAAAATTAAAAAAAATTTGTGTATGAAGTTAGAGGAGAAATTATCAAAAATTGTAAAAGTTAGTGTATTATAAAGGTTTGACAAATTTGTGTATGAAGTTAGAGGAGAAATTATCAAAAATTGTAAAAGTTAGTGTATTATAAAGGTTTGACATTTGGTTAAAATTATGGATGTCTTAGTGTATTATAAAGGTTTGACATTTGGTTAAAATTATGGATGTCTAAAATCGATATTAGAGGATTTAAGGGTAAATAATATTTTTTGTGTTTTTCGTGTAATATTGATATTGGATTTTATTACACTTCAGAGTTAATGATGAACGATCGAATCGTAATTCTTTATTCATGTGATGGAAAGATTAACTATCTCGAGAATAATATGCCCGTAAATGAAGGAGATGTGACGAAGCCGTTGTTTATATCAAAATCATGTACTTTCGATGAATTGGTTAATGACTTACACAAATTTACATTAACAAATTCACGTGAGTATCACCTCAACGTTATTTACAATTATCCTGTTACGGATAACAGAACAAGCGGCATTCAAATCTCAAGTGACTACGATATGAGTGTTATTGGAATATTACATGACGAGAAGCGTTCGATGGAATTATATATTGAAAAGCATCACAGAAATTTGGGCATATCGGTGAATCACGACGAAGTATATTCTCCCATGTTGGAAGACCTTGAAGTTGACTCCACCCGCAACAAGATGTTGGATGGATACAGTCACAATACTTGAGCGATCCTTCGCTTGTGGGCACTTCAAATGTCTTCGATGATAGTGCTCCCCATCAAGATATAATGCCTTTCACAGGAGTGACGATAGAAGATGATAATGCAAGTGTCGAATCCGAGGATGATGATGAAGAGGATGGCTTACAAATCAATAGCATGACGTGTTTGATAAATCGTGATGAAAGGGACAACCAATATATTGATAGATGTTACTCTAACAATGAGTATATCGTGTTAGAGGATCTGTCGCCCGATGAATTTCATGGAGAAGAATGGATTAATAACTCCACGATGGAAAGTATTCCTATCGGCACTAATGCAGTTGGTGATACACAAGGCGAGGACTTCTTATTCAAAAAGGACGATCTATTTAAAAGCAAGGGGAAATTGATTTATGCGATTCGTTTGTGGGTCATCCAAAAAATATCAAGTTTAAACAGATAAAAAACAATGCAACAAGCGATAATGTAGTTTGTTTTTACCGCAAAGATGACGAAGAAGAAGATAGTGGTGGGCACAACGACAACAATGCAAAATATTCTTAGAAGCTTAATTCACGCTTGGGTGTAAGAGTAGACGGGCAATTTAAAATCACACACTACAACGAACTTCATACATGTAGCAATCCTCGATTAGAGATGAATCATAAGCATGTGTCCGCCTCTTTCTTATATTGATTGATAATACCTAAACTAAGGGAGAATCTTAATCTAAGGCCAAAGGATATTCATCTTTTAGTGCATAAAGTGACAAACTAGGATGTATCATACAACAATTGTTGGAATGCTCGGAGGAAGACGATGATAAAATTATTCGAGATTGGGACAAATCTTATGAGATCTTACCACATTATCTTGAAACACTCAAAAAAAATTTGGGGACAGTCTATGAAGTATCATCAGACCCTGTTGATGGCGAAGATATATGGTTCACAGGTGTATTTTGGGCTTAGGCTTTACATTGAGGGATTTAGATATCGTCGTTCTCTTCTTAGCATTAACGGCACTCACTTGTACGGTAAATATAAAGGCGTTTTGCTTGTTACAATCAGAGTAGACGCAGATGACGGTTTATTTTCTTTGACGTTTGCAGTGGTTGAAGTTGAAAACACTAAAATTTAGGCATGATTTTTTGCATGCATTAGATATCATATCTCTAGTGTGCAAACACGGTAGATTACATTCATATCTGATAAGATAAAAGGAATTCTAATAGCATTCCAACGATATTTTCCGTCGTCACATCATCATTGCTATTGCTTGCGACATATTAGGGACAACTTCAAGAGGAAGCATGAACAAGTAAAGCTTCAAGATCTTCTTTGGCAAGTTGGCTGTGCAACGAAAAATTTAGTTTATGAGCAACAACGGGAGAGAATTAAATTTATTTCACGAGCTGCACATGATTGGATCGAGACTAATTTGGGTCCGAATAATGTTAATAAGTGGGCTTTATATGAAGATGATGGAAAACGGTTTTATTGATACGGGTGTATCTTCTCTGTTTTGGGAACTTAGCGATCATCATGGGAACTTGAGGATAGATGATTCTCATGGCAGCTTGAGAATAGAAACGACGAATGGAAACGGCGAAAATCAGGAAATAACAAGTCTGGCAAACTGGCTCTGATCGGTCGACTGATGAACAGTATCAGTTTGGATTCCTAGCCTGTTTCGGTTTTTTAGGGTTTATATATATCTAAACTCTATTGATTCGAGGTTCCTGGTGAAAAATCTGAGAGTTTGGAGAATAGAGAGAACTGTTCTTTATTCTAGAGAGATTGTGAGGAAGAGATTTGTAATCTATTGTTCTTCATAATCTAGAGAATGTATTTTCCTTCGTCATATTAAATTGTTCGTGTTTTTGCTATTTTCTTCACAAAGACATCTTTCATAATTCCGCAATTAAATGTGCTCGCCCGGCGACTCATATCAAGTTGGTATCAGAGCAATCAAATCCTGTGAAGGGCGTATCCTGCGTATGGTCATTACTCGATCGCAATACAAGAAGCTAGTCGAGATTCTTGTTTCTTTGGAAGAAGTCCAAAAATCAAGAAAGAAGATGGCAAATAGCAACAATTCATCACGACTTGATTTAAAGGAGAAGCAGATCGAGACAATCAGTTCGACTCTTACGAAGCTCGTTGATCTCATCCAAGGAGGTGACAAGAAGGTTGAACCTACAGCGGGTCCAAAGACGCAACCTATAAAATCCAATGGAGAAAGTGAGGAGATAGATTTTTAAAGAGGACGACGAAGTTGTCAAGGCTGTTCCACATCAAGGAGGTAAGGTTTCTTATCAGAAATATGAAAATCGACTTCAGAGTGGAGATTCCTATTTATGATGGGAGTGTTGACGTTGAGAGGTTAGACGACTGGATCGAGCGTCTAGAGACCTATTTTACTATTTATGACTATTCGTCTACGGAGAAGATCGTCTTTGCGACACTGAAGCTTTCCCGACACACGCTGAAGTGGTGAAAATCCTACTGCAAACAGAAGAAATTTGTGTCTTGGAGAAGGTTCAAGGATCTGCTTAGGAAACAATTTTACCCGATGAGATTCCTTGAAGAACGTTAGTACAAGTGGCAAGGCTTGCGCCAAAAATTCAATCAAACCGTTCAAGAATACAGTACAGAATTTTAGCAACAGGCTATGGTCCTAAATATTACGACGAATGAATACTCTGTTTTTATAAAGTATATGGCGGGTTTGAATGAATACATTCGGAAAGAGATGAAGTTATTCATGGTTGAGTCGATTACGGAGGCTAGCGTGAAGGCTATTGCCATTAAAAACAAGCAAAAGAAGAGCAACGACACGAAGGGAGATGCCAAGCAGGCTGAAGGCAAGTCTAGTGGTTCCCAACCTAAGAAGGAGAAGAAGAAGGACGAGCCAGGAAAATCAGGACTGACTTGTAGTCATTGCAAACAGACAGGGCATGTCATTGAACGATGCTAGGAGAAGTACCATCACCTCAAGCCGAAAGGATTGAAGGAGGAGAAGAAGGCATACGTGATAGCGCAAGGTCTGAAAAAAATCTCAAGTATGACAGAGCCCAACAACAGTCTCAACCCTATGACAGGACAACAGGTCGTGCGGGAGGACGAAGACCCGAGAGCAGCTCTTTGTTCTCAAGTTGTTAGTGAAGATCAGTTTGGTAGATGTCATTGTTTGCGTCGGGAACGAGTTTCATTGCAGCTTTCATTACAATCGTTTTGATGGAAGCAAAAGAGTGGGCCTTACACTTGTAAAACTTATCTTTACAACAAAAACAAAATAATTAGGGTGCTCCCTAAAAACACACGCAGAAACTCCTATTTAGTAGCCTCTATTTGCGTGGGATCTTTGTCTGTACCGGGGATACGTAATCCGTAAACCACCAGTTCAACGATCCAAGTTGGACGTGAAGAAGGTTTGATGTTGATGTTTCGACGTGGAAACAAGAACAGAAATAAATATCTTAGCAAAGTAAGATAAATATTCTTCTCAAGATCAAATCAAAGTTTGAAATTGAGGAAACACTAAAGGGCTCTTGAGATTGCTTGAAAGTGGTGAAGAACTCTCTTTTGTGCTCAAAGTTCGCCAAAAGCTCGTCTCTGCTTTCAGATATTCTTCCTCTCCCTTTCACAAGTGCGTAAGGGAGGTATTTATTGCATTTGGAAGCCATAACCATCGAAAGGGAGTTGAAACAACTGATTAACATCTTCCCTTTTAGGCGAGACAGTGTTTACTGTCTTGGCCAAAGGGGTGGTTCCAGTCAGTTTTGTAATCGTCGTCCACTCTCTTAAATTGCGTTAATTGCCGCATTTTTCGAAGGTAGTGGGTGTAGCTCTCGTCTATAATCGTTTATGCACGTTTCCCAACAGTTATGGAACCAAATGGACCCCACAAAAAGTCGTAAAAACCGTCAAAAACTGGGGTAACTGTCTCACTATTGGCGTGATAGCGTATGTCGTCTCGCGGTGCGAGACGGTGTAAACTGTCTCGCATGCGAAACGGTGTAAACTGCCTCACTAACATGAGACGGTTCCCAGTCTTTTTCGAGTGTTGTTTTGCTATCTTCTTCGCTTCCTTGCGTATTGGATGATTTCCTTTGACTTAGATAATGACGTTTTTCGTCTTCTCTTCGTCTTGAACTGTGTTTGAGACCTATGAGTAATTTTTAACGCCTATAAATACCCCCTTCAAAGTTTGCAGCCTCCTCAGTATTTTATCAAGGAGTCTGAAATATTTTGAACAAAATAGGCTCATGCTTTCATTCTCTTCAGTATTTTATCAAGAAGACTACGTAAAAAGACCCGTAGGTGGTTTCAGTGCCTTGACTTCTTCTGTCTTCAGGCTCCTCAGTATTTTATCAGGTAGTCTGAAATACTTCTGGTATTGCGGCGTCGTTGACCATTGTCCTTCAGCCTCCTCAGTATTTTTTCGGGTAGTCTGAAATACTTCTGATATTGCGACGTCGTTGGCTATTATCGAAATCTGTAACTAAATTTGATGTGTTGATATTTGAATTAGCTCGTGTCGTTGAGTTGACGTTGAACTGTCATCTTCGTTAAGAGTTTGTAGCTGAGTTGTAGTTGAACTCCCAGGGGTAACTTGGGAATATAATCATCTTGAGTCAAATCTTAGTGAAACTGCTAGTGTATAGCAGGGCGTTGGCTTCTGTTTCGATGTAAACACAGTTTATACTCATATGTAGATGGAGTCGTCACAGTTTAAGCTCTTAAGGTGTTGGAGCACGAATAAACAGTTTATACTTATGTACTCATCGAAGTTCAAGGAGCAGTTTAACCTCGTATACCAGTCGGAGGATCACGGAAAAACAGTTTATACTCGTATACTCATCGGAGTGTCACGGAGAAACAGTTTATACTTGTATACTCATCAGAGTGCATAAAACAGTTTAACCTCATATACCAGTCGAAAATTTATGGAGAAGTAATTTATACTCATGTACTCATCAGAGTTTAGAGAGCAGTTTAACCTCGTATATCAGTCGAAGGATCACGGAGAAGCAGTTTATACTCGTATACTCATCGGAGTGTAAGGAGCAGTTTAACCTCGTATACCAGTCGGAGGTTCACGGAGAAGCAGTTTATACTCGTATACTTATCGGAGTATAAGGAGCAGTTTAACCTCGTATACCTGTCGGAGGTTCACGGAAAAGCAGTTTATACTCGTATACTCATCCGAATATAGGAAACAATTTAACTTTGTATACCTATCAGAGGATCACGGAGAAGCAGTTTATACTCGTATATTCATCGGAGTGTAGTGAACAGTTAAACCTCGTATACCTATCGACGGATCACGGAGAAACAGTTTATACTCGTATACTCATCGGAGTTAGGGATGGCAATTATGGCCCATGCCCAATTGCCCGCCTGACCCGCCCGTTACTTGGCCCGCCCAAAGTTCACTCATTTAGTTAAATGGGTCTAAATGGGCGGGTATCTATTCAAAAGAAAATAAACAGGTGTTTAATGGGCGGGCAGGTGCCCGCCTTAAACCCGCCCAGGTGAAAACATTCACTATTCCACGTTCTCTCTCGTTCTCGCGTCTCTCATTTTCTTCAAAATCCCACGATGACGGCAGCAGCTCGAAGAAAACCTCGAGGCGGTGGCGACGTCATGGACTCGATCTACTCTGTCGTCGCCCTCGTTCTCATCCTCGTCGCCTGCGTCGAGCTCGGCGACGCCGCCACCACCGTCGAAGTCTACCGCCTCATCCAGTACGATATCGCCGGATCTCCCTTCGGATCGAGGCTCTCCGCCCTCAACCATCACGCCGGAGCTTCTCCGTTCGATTCCGGCGTCAATCTCTCGAGAACCGTGCTGATCTTGCCTGTTCGGGACTTGAATCTCACTTCTCTCAAAGGTAGAACTCGTTTACGACCCCGTCTCCGACCTCCACTCGCTCCCCGACCTCTGATTCCTCTCCCTCTCCGGCAACTTCCTCTTTATTCCTAAAATTTTCACTAAAGATGTGATCTTTTCTGTTAATAACCATTGTGTTTTTTAGAGAGATCGAGCTGCGTGGTTGATGAGAGGCAAGGATCGGTTTGTCGACTCCGTTGCTGAGAATCTCCTAGATCGCCTACAGGTAATTTAGAATGGCAAGGATCAGTTCCCTCTTTATTCCTAAAACATAATTGCTTGATATAGTTTGGGTGGTCATGATGGGAATTTAAAGGGGTAAGTAGATATTATTGTTAGATATGCGGATGTGATCAATTCAGTTGTGCTTCAGGTGAGGAATTGGTTATTCTTCTGTCCTTTTGCTATTATTATGGTCTATGTGTAGCTTTAGATTGAAGTATTAAATATGTTATGATCCAATTGGTAGATTTTACCCTTCTATACACATGTTTGCATGCCAATGAAATATATTATGAAAATTATTATCTGCCTCCTTACCTTGATATTTTGATAGTTTTGATTCATGTAGCTTGCGTTTGAGACTTATCTGCAATATAGCTTAACTTTATTCATGGGTGTGGAGATTAATTAATTAATTTAATTATATGATTTGTTTTCCCTTGTTTTAATTTTGTTTGCAATTACTACTTTTTAAGTTTTGAATATTTCTAATTGATATCCATTAATTGGACTTTGAAATCTCTGTTGACTATTAGTTGCAGATGAAACACAACTTGGAATAATCACTTTTTATCTGGATTCTGTAAAACAAGTAAGAGTATTAGATCACAAAAGAAGGAACTTATGCTAGAACCACTAACAGTACCATCAATGGCCATATTAACTAAGAATCTTTGTGTCTTAATATATTTGATAGATTTTCTGGGTTAAAGACAACCAACAAATATGAAGTGTCATGTTTTCTAAGACGTGATTAATGGCCATATGATATTATGTTAGATTATTTGGACATCAGAACTTCCATTTTGATAATTCGTGGTCGAAGAGCAACATATGAAGTTGAAGGGGGCTAGCTGCCAAAAACAAGCAAAAGAAATAACTACTACACCTCTCTCTCAAAGCCTCAAAGGTACAATGATTATGCCAAAAACAAGCAAAAGAATTCTAAGATTATGCAGTTTGATTTAATGTTAAGAAGGAGGTCAGAAATCTTGTTTTAAATAATTGGCATATGGGGTTCCATTATGAAAACATGATTATGGTTTGAGAAAGTTTTGGACTAATTTTCTTAATCAGCACAAGAAGTTGTAAAGGTCTCCTATGTGTCGTCTCTCAGATTACTGGAATTGGCTCAATTTGGGTTCCTTGTATTAAGAATTGTGTTACTCGGAGATTGATTTAAAGATTCAAATAAATTTCCTATCAATTGAACTTTCTCAGGAAATTCTGAGAAAGCTCTATTGTTTCTCTAATTTTACTTGTAATGTGCCCTTGAAGATTTCCTATCAATTATGTTTATCATCTTATAAACTCTAAGCTCTCTGCATGGTACTAAGCTCTCCCTTCGTTCCCCCGACAGAATTTCTACAGGCTCTAGCAGAAGGTATAGTTCTCTCTTTGAACAAAATGGTGATTAATTTGATATCAGAAAATTTGAGGGTTTTTAGTATTACTCATACGCCCTGCATTTGCACAAACAAAATATGAAAGCGCTGCATTTGTGTTGAATTTCAGCATTCAATTCTGAAGATTGTTTAAGGATGTTTTCAGTTAGTGTAATTTTATCAAAAAGGTTCTGGTATGGTACTATTTGTTTGGCGCTATTACAATTATTTGTGTCTTGAAAATCTTTTGGTATGAAATGGTCATGAATTGATTTATTTGAGTATCTAACATTCATTCTGTTTGATATAAAACAATACAGTTCTGTTTCAGCACTACTATCAGTACTAGGGTAGGAAAATTACAGTTTAGTTACATTTGCATAATTTCTTATGATACCTGATATCTATAAGTTCTATCTTAATCAATACAGAGCAAATTTTTTTCAGACGTTTGCAGCTCCTTTCACCAAGAGGGGTTTGCTGCTCAAGTTCTTGATACTCAGAGGAGGCTCCTTGCTCGCGTATCTCAGCTCCACAGCCTCAGGCGACATACTGCCCATTAAGAGAGGGACTCAGCTCCCACCGAAGCTTTAAGGTTTGCCACTTATTTATGACTTCATGAACTTTAATTATGGAATAATTCAAGTTATCATTTGTTTTCTTTAAGGTTTGCTGGAGCTGCACATGCTACTGATTTTGGCCATTGTGTTACAGTAGAATCTAGTCATTCACAATATCTAGTTCCGAAACCTATCCAGATTTCACAATATCTTATACTGAAAATTAGGAACATTATGCTAGTTGGAACTTGGGAGTCTAATTTCCTTCATATCTTATGCTAGTTGGGTAAACACATCCGAGAATAAAACCCAAAAAAAAATCAGCAACAACCAAGAGGAAAAAACTATGTAGCAAAAGGATTATGAGTATCTGAAGCTCTTTTTATTATGTTGTGCCTGAACTCTGACGACCATGCACTGTAATCAAATTATTCACCTTCCTCTTATGTGTTTCATTATTATGACAATATCATATGTTTGTGGCAAAATTAACTAATTCTATGGATGATTGATGCAGGGGGAAATATTGAGGTCTCTATGGTTATTTCGGATTCTAACCCTTGCTATGAAGACGCACATATGAGGCTTGCTGCAGTACTCTTAATGTTGCTATTGAGTCCAACTGAGTGTTATGTTTGTTTCCTGTTCTTTTCTTTCATCTGTCATGATCTTGTTCATGCCTGAACATTTGAAAGATGGGAAATAAGTGGACTATGGTTGTGCTACTATTTTGTTTATAGAGTTTATCAAGTAATTAAGTAGATTGTCCTTACTAATCGTGATCGTGTTGCTGATAGTTATGATGGCATTTATATCAAGTTATTGATCTTATACAGATCCTTACATACCTTGTGTTTTCTATCTTGATTCATTTAAATATTCTCGCAATTTTGTTGTTATTGATCTTTTGGTTTTGGTTTGAAAATCTGAGGTTAATTTTGCAAATATGTGAGCTCTGTACTTTTATCCAGGCTTGTAAATGGTTCAATCATGAACTTGTTTGCCTTTGTTTGTTTATCTTTGTTTATGTTCCTATACTTGTTGGTATTTTATCAAAAGCCCTAACAAGTTTGCAAAAAGCCTCCAAAAAGTTTGCAAAAGGCCCACAATAGTTTACAAAAAGCCCCCTAAAAGTTTACAAAAAACATCCTAAAAGTATTATATACATATAGCTACTATAGTTAAATGGGCAATTGGGCGACCCGTTTATTAAATGGGCGGGCAAAAACCCGCCCATTTAGAAAATATTAAATGGGCCATAAATGGGTAAATGGGCAAAACATGCCCGCCCATTTATGGCCCGCCCATTTAACACCCAAACCCACCCATTTAACATCCTTAATCGGAGTATAGGGAGCAGTTTAACCTCGTATACCTGTCGGAGGATCTCAGAGAAACAGTTTATACTCGTATACTCATCAGAGTGGTTGAACGAATACGATGGGAATCATAAATTTCTTCCCTCGATCCTTCGTCATTACGCTTTGACCCACTTGAGGAAGCAAGCCGTAACACGAAAGATGTCGTGGCGCTTAACAAAGGATCAGGAGCGAGCTCACTGTAGTTTTGTCACTCAGAGCAAGACTTCGAGCTCGAGCGATCGGAATTCTATCTAAGGACTTCATCTTGGTGTGTTGGGACAGGATGAAGTGCCGCAAAATGAGTTGCTGGTAAGAGCGACCTACTTTGCAGGGTCTCCTTGATGCAGAATAAAAAATTTAAGGGATGCATGACATTAATGCAGGTTTGGTCATGAGAGCGCATCTATATTGGACGACCTACTTTGCTTGTGCATCGCGATCTACAGGGCCATTTTTTTTTAGATGCAGGTATAATTATGTATAAATTTTATTCATATTGAATTTGTTCTCATATATTCTTTATGTCAAATAGGTATAACACTAGGTACTCTAAATACAAAATAGCGACTAGACATATAGAGTTTTACCGAAATGAGCTTGATGGCCCCAACACCAACAGATATATAAAACTTAATTCATTATTAATATTTTAATTTTGTTGTAGATACTGATAAAAGTTTTTTTAAATTTTAATTCAAGTGGACGCCTTATTCTCCGTCAAATCTCGGTAAGCATACCCTTGCACCTATTTGTTGAGATAGCTGCTTTGTGGAGAGCCAAAGTCTCATTGATATGTTGGGAGATTGTACAGATGCATGTCCTAGATCGTGTTACGGTAATTTCTTCTCTCTCAGCATGTGTCGGATCCTATTGAGCAAATCGATCGTAGACGACGGATGACATCGCATCGTAAGGACTGAGTCGTATTCCGTACGGTCTACATAGATAGGTAGAATTTCATACAGGATGAGAGAATTTCAACTGATGATTATACCACATATATGCGTTGGTATTAGAATATCACAGAGATGGATAAAACACGACCCACAACCAGCAACTGGATACGTACCACGCCCACCGATATATAGTTACATCCTTAGTGCCATGATCGAGAGAAATTATGTAAGTTTTTAAACTAAATTAAAAGGCAACTCTTTTTTATTAAGATATTATTTGCTAAGTTGCATATATATTGATTAACTCACAGATCAATACTTTTGATGAGATTGAGACTGATATAAATGAGCATATCAATGACATTCAGGATCCGATGGTGATAAGGATCTTCAATAAGATCAGACAGAGAATAGCAAGCGTATTTCATAAAAATCATGTCGTCGAGTTTGCAAGCCGTGAGGACAGGTCACGCCAATTTGGTCAAGTGTACATGCGACGACGTAGGACAGGTCAAAGGACGACGCGTGATGATGGAACTGGTACTTCTCATAGCACGGCGTATGCTGATAGAGCCGATACTTCTCACACACCCAGATACTCAGATCATCGAGGCTCATCAGCATGGACAGAGTGGGCGAGGATAGGGGGAAGAGTGAGAGGAAGGGGTCCGAGAGGGAGAGAAAGAAGAGGACTTTTAGGATGTATGTGAATTTCTTTTGTTCAAATTTGTTACTTTTGTGAATTTCAAGAACGATATGGTTAAATTGTTCAAATTTGTTACTTTTGTTGATCGATTATTGTTTATATATGTGATTTTCGTGAGTATTGTTTAATTCATGGTTGAATTTTATGAATATTGTTGTAATTCAGTATAAATGTGATTTTCGTGTGTACTACTTGATTCATGTATATTATTGTGAAGTGAATTGAGGCGAAAATATGTGTATATTGTTAGGAAATTGTTTTCATGTATATAAAAAACATGCACACATTCTATGCATGATTTTGTAAAACCTGCAACTCCACGGGACTTTTGCAGGCGGAATTTCCAGAGAGCATCGTGGACTTTTGCAGGCTAAATTCCAGAGAGCGATGCTCTCTAGAAATTCCGCCTGAAACTTCATTGACGAAGTTACAAAACTTCACAGGACTTCAAGTCCTATGAAGTTTTGGGCCTCTTAATCACAACATTGGTTATGGCGGGCTTAAACTTCACGGGACTTGAAGTCTCATAAAGTTTTATAACTGTTTTCGCCAAATTTGACCCAGTTTCAGCCAACTAGCTGAAACATGGTCGAATTTGGTAAATAATTTTGAAATAGGTTGTTTTTAGCAATTAAGTTTCTAAATAGGTTAGTTTTGAAAATTTGTCATTTAGCTAAAATAGCTACTTTTTTGTGGCGTGTGTGTGTGCACGCACGCTAAATGAACAAAAAATAAGTGCTCGCAAATACATATCATTATGTTTCAAGTTCAAACTGCTTTTTCTTACTCGGGGAAAGATATGAAACTCTTTAATATACCTTTAGGTAAGGGATCTTTAGATCCACAACTGTCAGACTCGTCAGACTTTGTCCCCTCTTCAACATCATTGGCTTTAGATTTTCGATTGTCACAACTGTCAAATTCGTCAGACTTTGTCCCCTCTTCAACGTCATTGGCTTTGGATTTTCGATTGTCACAAGAGTCAGACTTTGTCCCTTCTTCAACATTTTCAGTTTCAGATCTTTGATTGTCAGACAAGTTGGACTTTGTTTCTTCTTCAATATCATCAGATCTGTCCTTGTCCTTGATCGTTCCACGATTCCTAAACCAAAACAATAAACTTATTTAACAGGTAAAAATAACTCCAGCATGCAAGCATTAGAAAGATAGATAAAAAGAGATTAATTTATTTAATATTTTTTCCGATATCATAAACATTTTTAAACAAGAAAAAAAGGAGTCATTCACAGATCACAGTAAGTGGGCCTCAAATAGAAGCAATATTCGTCATACATCAAGCCACGTCATAATTACCATTTACCTCCTTCAAAGCCATGTCAAAATCATAATGGGTATGCTATGTAATTTGAAGCTTTTCTAAACATATTAACACCACCTTCTAGGAGTGAAGGAACATTTCAGTTTAAGCATCACTAATTTAAGTTAAAAGCTAAGGGGAAAAAGTGATGTCTATCATCACCATAAATTAAATCATTAAATATTACGACTTATGTGGGATCATGGTGGACAGAGTGATTGTCATTGGAATAGCCGTCATATACTATATGTGGAAACATCCAAGTTGGTAATGCCTTCTGGATGATGAATACATGAACATATTGACATTTATACATGTCATGCACAAATAAAAATTAGTGGTGCGCTTATTAGAGAATATCTTGCAATTATGATCAATAACAAGCATGACTAATGAATTGAGGAAAAGGTTGAAAAAGAACAAAGAGTATTTGGATGATTGTATTTACCTTACTGAAGAAATATACTTCTCGACTACTTTTTCTTCCTCTTCATTATAGAAGAACCACTTATCTTGCCAATTTTCAAGTTCTGGATAAAACAAGTGCACATGAGTTTTTATGTGATTTGATGAAAGGAAGACTAGTTGACAATGATAAAAACCTTGAAGTATAATGTTTGAACGATTGTTGTAGACGTTCAATTTCCAGAGTATCTGCCGATCGCTTCCCCGAACAACATAGTCAGTTCGCACAGCATCAAATCTTTGATTCTCTATTTCCAGCGTATATAAAAATAAATAAAAGAAGCTCAAATAAGTAGGGTCAATAGAGCAATAAAAAGGCAACAATGGCACTCGCTTAACTGTGACATGACATTTATGTAATTGTGTCATTGCACAATGGAAGTCATAGTTTAAGAGAAATTTTTATTTATAATTGGATTCACAAACAATTGTGAATTAGCATCAGGCAATATTTTCTGCATTCCACAAAGGAATATTTGCTCGCAACAACGTTGTATAAATCAAAGATACACTAATTAGTGAAACTTATTCTTTCGATTTCTATATCAATACATAATTGTAGCTAACAAATTAAACAGATTTGTTAAATAAAGTAGTAGTTTATAACCACACCAGTTATATGGGTGTTATTGTAGTTCGGTGAAGTCCTTTGCATTCACGCAAGAGATATTGGCTCAATTCTGCTTGCACTTTAAACATGGCTACTTTTCAAGGGAAATAAAGGAGGGATAAAAACATAAACCAGTAGTAAATTCGACATCATGAAGCCTGCTCCCAATCAAAATGGTAGCAGCGCAGGACAAATAAAAACTTGACCTCCCATCAACTCTCTAAAATGGTCACCAAGGAAATTAGGGACAAAAGAGAAGTGCCTATAGACACTATAAGGCAAATTGGAGTAGGAGAACCAACAAATTAATAATGCAGCAAATGCTCATGGAATAAACCTCCAAATCTCCTACATTATTGGAAAGTCTCGAAGAAGAGGGATGATGATAGATTATTTTGAAAAGCCTAAAATCAACTCCAAGGAATAGAGAACACTTAAGGAACCTAAAAATCTATAAAATATACTGATGAAGATTAAAATTCCATAAAGATAAATTTTGTATGTGTTGAACAAACTTCAATAAGCTACTATCTACATCATGTTAGCAGCTTAATGAATCTGTAAATTCACCAATAAATTGTAGTCCGACTTGATTTATAACATTAGGACCAGCAATTGATTTGATTTATACAGACTCTAAATTTCCAGTATTGCTCGGAAGATAAAATACACAAGAAAAACAGAACCACACTAATAACTTAAACCATCTAAACTTGATTAAGATATTTAATTACTACCAAACAAAAATGGTAACTCTGAGACTCCTAGCATTCTATATTAAAACTCATCCACACAAAGACACACACGCACACATAGGAAAAATGTATATTGAACTGATAGCTCATCTTGCAAAATGAGCTATTAACTAAGGTCAATAGTGTTTAGGCCCACCTAGTTGATACATTGGATGGGTATGAGGTCTTGTGTTTGTGAGTGAGCAGCTCATTTTGCAAAATGAGTTGTCAGCTCTTAGAATGGGCTGCTGGTTTCCATCGAGGAAAGGGTCAGCAGTTCGACTGAAAAAATTTATGTAGTGGGCCTGTTAATAACACCACCAAGAACAGTGTACCAACTATTAAAGCTAAGCGGTGACTTTCACAGTTGGACTCTGGTGGCAGCGAAGGAGCTTCCACTATTGAACCCACATCACGAGTAACGGGAAGAGTATGAGCGAGAGATGAGTATGCTTGGTACTAAGAACAAGACTAGTGCTTGGTCGTGACGTGGCCAATTCTCATCCTTCCCATTTGAAAATGGTCCCACTTGTTTACTCACCCATTGAATGAGTGGATGAGAAATGGTCATCTCACTACAGCACCAAAGTTGGTGCTTGATAGCAAACATACCCATATTCCATATATATGCACACACACGCACGCGCGCACGCACACACACACACGCGCACGCACACACACGCACGCGCGCACGCATATACATACATACATACATATATGTACACACACACACACATACACACACACACACAATAGTACACTACGCAATTCAAATTTAGGATGAAAAAATAACATATATAATTGAAATCGAAAGACTGATTATGAATTGCTGCTATATCGAATTACTTGAATGAGAAATATTAATTTAAAGCTATCATTAAGCCGCGAAAGTTGTCCTAGTTTTTACCTAATTAGTGCCATCCTACATGGAAATTTAATCTACATTGCACAAGCATACATGTTACTAATCCAAATCATGAATCTGGCTATTTAATAACTAAAAAGCAAAGAAATATAAATTAATTGATACACTTAGTTAATGATCACATTTTGCTTCAAAATTTATACTTGTGGTTTTCAAGAAAGAAAACCACTGGCTTGAATATTCAGGCCTATAGGTTTCAATAGTTTATTTAGTTCAAATTCTCATCACAAGATTTTGCTTTATATTAATGCTCTGGTTTCTGTTTCTGGAAGAAAAAAAATCAAATTCGGACTTTGTAGATAACAATTTGCTTTGTTATCATTATCCTTAAAATTTCATGCCCAGAATTGTATATATTTGTGAATGCATATGTACACGTGATGCTACATGCCAGTTACGAAAGCCTCCAGCCTCCAGGTACAATTATCTAAATGTACCACTCACAGACATTGATACTAAGCCTATCCCTGTACCATGTAGCAGTCAGCAGACTCAAACAAAAGAAGTAAGGCAGGTAAAAAAATAAAGGAAAAACAAAAATGTCTATTCCAACAAAGCGGCGATCCTAAGTGAAATTTTCCCATGCAGAATAGTCCACTGCACTTTGCAAGTGATTCAATTGGCTAATCAGCTTCCAATGCCAATTTTGGCTGAAGGTCAGTATATAAAATGATCACGTAGCCAAAAGGGTTATGCAAGAGAAATTGGGAGAGGCCAATATGGAGTACAGGGAAGGGACTCGTATGAAAAATAAAAGAAGCATAATTAGCAGAAATCTGGGAAACTAACAACTCAATAACAGGCAACTAAATCTGGCCAGGAAGGCCAGAATCAACTACTAAATGAGCAAAAAAACCCATTCATCTTGTGTACATGATGCCTTAATATGATTCAATCATTAGTTGGCAAGGTTTTAGGACATAACTTTGAGATTGCAATCACAGAATCTAAATATGCATCAATCTTTATTTTCGTTATAGGGTCTACTTTAAAAATTACATATATATAACTGTGTTCCTTATAGCCTTATAGGTATAGGGATCATTGTTGTTGTCATCATCTAAAACCTTCATCTATCAAAATATAGTGAGCTATATGGATAGGATTTACATCCGTCAGGTTGACCCAATTAAAAGTAATGAATATGGAACTCTTATAAATCCTTGAGCAGAATTTCCCAAATTTTCAGAAAGGTATAGATATTATTTTAAACTTACCTGTAAACCACGCATCCGATTGTTTTTTGTTTGTATGGCCTGCCTCTATTTGTGTCCACTGTCCAATTATAGTCATGTTACTGCTTCATCCTCATCACAAAAACTCCCCATGACTGGATTTTCAAATATCGTATGTACTGGATTTTCAAATATTGTCTTCATCACAGAAACTTACCTGTGAACCACCCATCCAATTTTGTCTTCATCCTCATCACAAAAACTCCCCGTCACTGGATTTTCAAATATTGTGTCCACTGTCCAATTACAGTCACATTGCGGCTTCCACTTATATAACTTATTATGGTAAAGTTTTAAGGTGTCCGGGCCGACGATATAATTGTATGCACTGGATAATTACTTTTATTTATCGCAAATTGTTTTAATTACGATATGTTTTGAAAAAGGTAAATATGGACATTAGAAATTCTACATGAAGGAACATATTGAAAAACATCATACAATTACCTTTTCTTCCATCAAATCATCTATAACCTCTACGGTGTTTTAAAAACGGCCAAAATGTCCGATACGGCAGCCAAAACATCGTTTTATAGAACTTGCTATAACAAGAAAGGTTTATATTTCATTTATCTTTTTTGGGAAACTATCAATGATAATAGCAACCTTTCTAGTATACCAAACTTAATTTCGGAATTTACCTGTCGTAAAAATTAACCAAATAGTGTCATATGGGGTTCTACTCAAAATTTTGTTTTAAAAGTTGGTTTGGGTTTACGACTCAATTGAGCTGGAAGCAAAATTCTAAACCTTCGATTCTTCATGTCCATCACTCCTTTACTCCGAAAAACATGTTGCAACCAGTTCCCTCTATATCCATCTCTCTCGATCTCGAATCCTCCTAGATGTATCACCCTAAGCCACTTTGTACCTTGAAAATATCTTATTTATATAATTCAATATTTTTATATGTTTATGTTTCATTTAGGACATCCATGCTATGCATCTACACGATCGAAACTCGAAATCAGTATGAGTGGCAGGAGTCGAAAATTTTCCATCCAACATAACTTCAATATCACCCATCCAAATGGAGTGAACTACGCAAAGTGATGTGCTAACAATAATTATATCACCTTTCTAGTCACTGTTATCTTCTAGTCTTCTTCAATGAAAATGAAGTAAACATTGTCATTAGATTAAGGTTGTGCACCCGCAATGGGTTTGACCAGACACACTGGATAATATATTAAGGGATCATAATGCATGAAGCTCCTGCCTCTGGCTATATTCACGGTTTGGACCACTTCGAACTACTGTATATAGCCTTGGCACTTTTACCCGCAAGAGAAAATATTGAGCTACCTAAAACCTCGGATGATTTTTAAAATATCCCAAAGATTGTGTTCATACACATATTGGCAAATACCTACCCACACCCTGCATCCCAACTAATTACAAAACTATGCGTGATAATTTACCTCTCCTAATCTATAATCGTACTTAAACTCTTGCTTATTTTATTAGCATGATCCCAACACTTGGATGATCTCCTTTTCATATCCCTGCTTCACTAACCGCACCCACCCCCTCTATCTTCTCATTTTCAAGATAGTGTACAAAGTGTCTAGGTATTACTATAGTGGTGATGGAACGAGTATGGGAAAACCATAGCAATATAAAGAAAATAGTGGACCTAAATTTGATTGGGTTTGAGTGTGAATCATAAGAGTAGACCACAAGAAACAAGGGCATTTATCCTTCTTCATGACCGTGAAGAATTTATTTACAAAATCATGTAATTTATAAATTACTTCACAGAAAATTTAGTTGATTTTGGATCGATGAAAATTTGTATCAAATTTTAAATAATTAAAGTGAGTAAAAAATATGTATAATCTTCGATTAGTAGAGCTCCCTTAGCTCTTTTTTTTCAAGTGTGGGTTGGAAACATAACACCGAATTTGAAACTCATTAAATGGAGATAGGCATATTCATCCCATTGTTCGACAATTTAGTATGTTTTCTTAATGCTATGCAAGACAAACGAAGTTAGGTTCCTATTTTAGGCTTTAGCCACAGACTTGGACCATTTAATCAAAATACACTTTTACCATCTATGGTCCTTTATAAATTTAATGGTGCACAATGTACGGTCGCTCCAATCTAGTAACACAAGCTGACAATCTCCAATGATGATCTCGATCTTTGTTCTTTGATGATGCCAACTTCTAGTAATTTTTTGCTTAAAGAAAGTTATTTCATAAATAATCTTTCTTCTTCTCTTCCTTCACACTAAACCTTCTCTTCCCTCCTCATGCATCTCCTCTTTCGCCACCTTAATTCATTGTCATTGCATCTTTCCTTCACACATTGTTTGTTTTTCTTCTACCTCTAGTTTTCCTTGTTCCCCTTCTACCTTCATTGCTTGTAGTTGTTGGTATGCTAATTCTATTGTCGCTTTTTCTATCTCTACCAATCTCATCCTTCCTTCTCTCTTCCACTAATGTTGTTGCTATGATAATGTTGTTGTCTATTACTTTTTCATTCTTGCTCTTCTTTCCTGGTCATTCTTGTTTTTCTTTCTTTGCTTTGTTGCTAAATTGGTCATCACACATATGCAAATTCGACATGCATGTGTATGTGCTCTTATTTAGATTCTATAGGTAATGTAATTGTTCATTGATGTGCTTTCTACTATAAATGAGTAGGTAACATTGGCCTAGATTTCATATTTTCAAAATTTGATATTCATTGTACCTTGCACCTCTGGCTTTGAACCCACTTTGTCTTATGTACTTGAAAGTGAGCGACTTGCCTAACCTTGTGCTTTACATCTTGCCTTGCATCTTGGATCATGTGTGCCAAGGATTTTGTCCCTCACAATTGCACTGTGTATTATTACAACAATAATAATTTCTATCTCCATAATCTAACTGAATTTGTCACAATGAATTGTTCTAACAAAGACCATATGTGCTCTTATGATTCACAAGTGATACATTTCTACTCCGACCAATCATAACTTCTTTATTTTGGGTAACAAAAAATAAAAGGTATGTTGTAAAAGGTATGTTGCAGACATTTGAAAAGGTGTAAGAATCACCGAAGTAATGACTAAACCCAATGACTGTATAAAGTAAGTAAAGAGAAAGGATACCGGAACAAGAAAGCACTAATTTCAATTGTCTCAATCACTACGTTATAATGAAGGGGAAAAATAGATTCAAGACGAGACAATAAAAGTAGGTTAGAGACGACTCAAGAAATATCTAAGGATTTACCTTGGAAATATCTAAGGATTTCTCTCTCCCACTTCTTTAGAATTACCCAAATTGAATTATTGGTACAAGTAACTATAATTATTGATCGAATGTTTATGTTTTCATTTCTTTTTAACTGTATAATTTTGATACATTGTTACCCTACTAATGTTTTATTAAATTTAAAGCAAATGGGTAAATTATAATTTTAAAATGATTTAATGTGAATCATGATAACTAGTTGTCAACAATAACTTATTTATTGTTTCTACTTTTATTTTGTTCTCTGTATGCCCGGAATTTCGATAGGAAAGTACACATTTTCCTTAGTATACAAATTAATTAACCATTTATGGCAATATTAGTAACAATGCATCACAAACTCTTTATTAATGGATTTGTGAGGCTTTATTTTCCAAATATCAACACAACATAGGTCTTAAGCATCAATCCATGAAATGATTTTTAGTGTTTCTAATCACTCCGTACATGTCAGATTTAACCAAAGATATCAACTGGGAACTCTGTACGAATTACAGTTAACTTTATGGTTATTTAACTCGCCGTATGTTCTATTGCAGATTCCATTTCACTTATTGATTTAAAAGGATATAAAATGACTTGTAATCAGTTCTGTTAAGCTCTTATTTTACACTCTCACAAAGGATATTTTTTAGTTTTGCTTTATATAAGACCCACATCACAAGAAGAAGCCTCAAAAAGATTAAAAAAGAGGGAAGGATGGTAAAGCCAAACTTCCAGTCTAAAATCAAAAAATTTAATAACATCATATCTCACTAGTCACCAATTGTAACTTACATAGTTACTTAAGCTTCGATGCTTCAATCAAATTGCCAATACACTTATAGAAATATTAGACGGAGTTAACCATTAAGCTAGGTACTTTATATGAAAACAAAGCCATGTAAAGAGCTAATCTTTTAAGCTGATCTAACTACATCTTGCAGAAGAAGCCTTTCAGATTATTTGTACATGCAGCTCAACACCATTAAGTCCAACCAAATTAGATTGTTAAATGAATAGTACAAACAAATTTACTTATTGCTAGAACAAAAGGCGTCAAACTGATAGATGAACAATAGAGCTAAGATAGTCGTAGTTAGAATTAAGGAAAGTAATTTATTCAACTAACTGAAAGACAGAGCAGCATATAATTTGGCAGCATACTCTTAGGTACAAGTGGAAGAGACGAAAGAACTTCAGCATGCACTCCATCTGCCTCCGCCTGTAATTGTGAAACAAGACTATCAGACTCAGCTAGTGAAACTGGAGTCCTCTCTCTATCTAAAAGCATAGCTTTGGCAATCTCATCCTTCATCTGCTGTTTTAAAAGCTTTTCCTGTAAAAAATCAGATATTAGAGAATTAAACTAATAAGAAGAAAACAAATATTATAAACAGTTTCCACAACCGAGAACCTTTTTCTTGGCAGCGAGGACTTTTTCTTTGTTTTCTTTCCTTCTTTCTTTGAATTTTACTGCCACTTTATCTATCCAATTCCTCAACTCTCTGACCAAAAAACACATGATGAGAAATTATGTGCACAGAATTATGATGAGTTAACTAATAGGTACCACTTACTCTGTGTAAAGAACCTCATCACAAAGAAAATTTAATATCTTCAATTTCGTTGATGGTTCAAGAGCATCATATCCAGCTGATCCATTGTCAAGAAAGTTCAGAGGCAATTCCGCCAAGTTGAATTCAGATTTCTCTATGCAACTTTTAAGTGCTTGCAACCATGCATCCCCTCTGCTAGGTGATAATGTGAAGACCAGTCAGACAATTATCAAAAATAGATATGAACTGTACAACAAACAGAAAATGACATCAACATTCAGAGAAAACAAGATGTGAGGACCTATACTCTTTTTTCATGTCCATTCCCATTAGTGACAACAATTTGATATTGAATTCAACATGAGTTGAGTATGTTCCATGACGCTTGAGACGCCCTCTAGTTAAATCTCGGAGAATGCACTCAGGCTGCCCTTTCTTTACATCAAGAACCTAAAGTGAAGGAGATTCATTAAAGAAAAGGACAACAAGGGAATTCATATTATACAACCGCAACTGTAATGGAAAACATCAGAGTAAAAATATCAATTTAAAGAAAGCTGATACCAATATTACACCTTAATCACGTAGTTTTATTGTCAGCTATACGATTTTTCCCCCTTCTAATTTTAAAAGAAGGAACAGTTGAACATTTAACAAGTCAGTCTCTTATCTAAAAGCTGGGATCACTTAAAAAATAACAGGGAAGAACCTTTCCTCAAAGGCAACCATACATAATCAGAACCCAGTTTTCAAAGCTGTTCAAATCAAAAATTCAAGTGTAAGCATAGTGCTTGTACGTTAACTAAAAGAAACTTCAACATATCCTATAAATATTTTAAACTACCAGGCATCCATAATGGCCTCAGCAAAAAAAAGTGGAGAATATACCTCAGAGAATGAATTGCAAAACTCCAAGAACTGCAATGCAGCTCCAACGTCCTGCACTAGCAGTTCAATGCCAGAAACCTCAATCAATGGACTGCCTTGGGGAAGTACAATGTCTTCTCTGATAGTTTTATTGTGGGCTTTTGCTGCAAGTTTCTTTGACTTCCGAACTTTCTTTAAGTGATCTACTCTCATGTTACCATTGTTATCACATTTCAAAGGATTGGATTCAACATTTCCATGACTTTGATTGCCATGTTCTTTATCAACGCTACTCTTCCCTAACTTTAATTTTTTTGCCAATCCCTCTTCTTTTGGTCCAGCTTCATGCTTCTCGGATGGTTGACTTTCCTTATCATGACTTCTTTTTGAAGCCGAAGAGCCCTTTCAAAACCAAGTACAAAAATTAAAGAGAACTAAGATGACAAACTCATATACTTCTTCATTCATATGAACCATAAAATAACAAGGACTAAAAAAATAACCTAAGCTAATTAAAAAAACATACCTTGTTAGAGATGGCAGATTTCAATTCTGTACTCTGGGGCTCCAACTTTTTCGCGCCTTTGTTATCCAATAACTCATGGACTGAACTGAACCCATTTGATTTGGCGATGTGGGTTAGTATTCCAGTTGGCTGGAGCCCTTTCTTTTTCCTGAGAAATCCAGACTCCAAATTAATTCAAAGTATCTACAAACCAAAAATCCTTCAATATTAATTCATACAAAGTTTTAAAAAGAGTTACATGCAAAAACTGCAATTGCAAACGCCGCGACATTTGGGGCAAATCCAGTTCTCTAACTTCCCCACTTCTTCCGCATTTTCGCCGTATCTAAACACCCAAAGCCCTCAAATTAATCAATCAAAAAATTCTAAACAAAAAATGGAAAAAGTAGAGAAATCAACAAAAAAAATACCTATTCAAAAGACATTTGCGACAAAACCTTAGAGTACACAGCTTGTCCTTCTTTAGCCGCTTACAGGAAGCGGCAAAATCCCTCATCTTTTGCCGACACTGTAACCATACATAACAACCCAAATCTCATAAGATGAATAATAAAAAGTGAGATTTTCTGAACGAATCGAACTTAAGTTACTCAATTATATTGTGACCTCAACAAAGAGAAAGATGGTATTTTGCAGCATGGGTTCATGTTTTCTCTTGGTAATTCGAACTAATCACCAGAATTAACCACAAAAATCAACAAATTACGCTACATTTTCACATGGGGCGTGCTGATTCCAAAAGAAAACTAAGAAAAAAGATTTAAAAAAATACCTGATGGCAAGTCTTGCCATTCTCAGAATCGCAGATCCGCGCTCCTTTGACATCAACGCCAGGATTATTGGCACTTTTCTTCTTCTTGAGAGAGAGAGGAGGGTTCTGGCTACAGCTCGCTTCTCTCTGGCTGCTAATCTCAGCGGCAGATATCTCAACAGCAGGGTTCTCAACGAGAGCCATTGAAGCTACAGAGGGCTTTGGTTCCAGACAGAGAGAGAAGGTGAGAGATCTGGGGATTGAAGAGAAGGAGAAATGAAACGAAGGGACACGGATTTTTTTTCTGTATAATTTTGGATGGGTTTTTGAAGAGGGCGCGAGGAATTTGAAGGGGTGGAGGGGGAAGTGAAATTTTTTCGGGGGAAATGGTTTCCAAGTTCGGGCCTCTCTTTCTACAAGGGAAAAAGCCTATGAATTGCACGGAAACAAAAGGGGTTGATTTCGAGCACTGTACCGAGATGATTTCTTGCGGCTGTAGAGAAAACGAGGGTGTTTTACATGTGAGCAAATATAGACGACGGCGCTTCTACATGGACCCCAAATAGGCAACCGAATGGACACAGAAGGACAGTGCATCATCCAACTGAGGGGACGGTTCACCTGTTCCTCTTGGGTCTCCTATTTGGGATCCATGGGATATTATTATGCTCATTAAAATTCAAGCGCTGTTACAGGGACCCAAAATATGGGGACCAAGGAAGGGAACAGGTGAGGTGTCTCATTCCTATTGCATAATGAGTTGGTCATGCCAACTCATTATGCAATAGGGAGAGGACATCTCACATGTCCCCTCCATTGGTCCTATATTTTGAGTCCTTAAATCATTTTCCTTAAAATTCATTAATAGTTAAAAAACTAGTCAACGAATCTTTATCTATCGGATAATTGGTGGTCCAAACGATAAAGAAAAGAGCACTCAAGGGGATCATAAGAGCAGCCAAGTCATGAAACTCGTGAAAAAACACATTGTATTTATAAGAGGAGGTATATATGAACGGGGCTGAAACAAAGACTGGTTGAATTTAAGCATCGTACATAAATTATTTCTCCATCGATGAGGGTGTTTTTAAAAGAGTGAACATTTAGAGCATCTCCAACAGCTTCCCCATTTCTCATTTTTGAAGAATTTAGTTAGGTTTTTGGCCCAACAGATTCCCCATCTCATTCCCCAAAATAGGGATGGAGGAGAAAAAATGGGGAAGCTTCTCCAAATCTGCAGCATTCTCCAAATTTTTTGAGGAAAAAATGGATTCTTCAAAATGGGGAAGCTGTTGGAGTTGATGTAAAAATTAGTTGGAGAATATGACTTTTGCTTCCCCATTTTGAAGAAAATTTTGGAGAAACTGTTGGAGATGCTCTTACAAACTATGCTCATTGAAATTCATTAACAGGTCAAAAATTATTCAATGAGTCTTATCTACCGGATAGCTGATGGTCCAGGTGACAAAAAAAAAGAGCATTGTAGGGTCCACAAGAATAGTTACATTTTGAAACCCGTGAAGACACAAGTATGGTCTGAAACAAATTTGAGTAGAATTTGAGTACTATGCAAAAAATGGTTTCTTGACTAGAGAAAAGTAGGAGTTTTAGAAGAGTGAACATTGACAAACTATGTTTATTAAAACTCATTAATGAGCGAAAAAACCATTCAATGAATCTTATATACTGGATAGCTATTGATCTAAGGGCTAAAGGAGAGAACATTGTAGCGTCCACAAGAACAGTTATGTTTTGAACCTCATGAAATGACGCGTAGTAATTACAAGTAGAAGAGTCTATGAAATTGGATTGAAATCAAAGTGGGTTGAATTTGAGTAGGGTATAAAAATGATGAATGTGAGTACTGTACAAAAATGATTTATTTAAAACTCATGAATAGGAAAAAGAGCATCGCAGCGTCCACATTAACAGTTTCGTTTTGGAACTCGTGAAAAAACATGTAGTAAGTAAAGGAGAAAAGTCTTAAGTCTATAAATTGGCTTGAAACAAAAGAGGGTTGAATTTGGGTACCGTGCAGAAATGGTTTCTTGAGAGAAAAGCAGGTGTTTTAGAAGAGTGGATATTAACAAACTATGCTCATTAAACCTCATTGATGGGTAAAAAACTATTCAATTAATCATATCTACGGGATATCTGGTGGTCCAAGAGCTAAAAAAAGAGCCTTGTAGGGTTCACTAGAACTATTGCGTTATGGTACTCCAGAAAAGACACGTGGTAACTAATGCATGTTATGTGATAGTTTCGTGGCATAGAAAAGGAAATATTATTAGGAGAACATGTTTTTTATAGAGCTTTGCTACAAGGACCTACAATATGGGACCAATATGGGGGGACAAGTGAGGTGTCCCCCTCCTATTAGATAATGAGTTGACCATCATTAATGATGACCAACTCATTATCCAATAGGAGGGGGACACCTCACTTGTTCCCCCTATTGGTCTCATTTTTTGGGTCCTTGAGAATTTTTTTCTTTTTATATGGTGGTCTAAGCGGTAGAAAAAAAAACATTGTTAGGTTCATAGGAATGATTATGTTTTCAGACTCGTAAAAAGATAAGGGCCGGTTTTTCTATAGAGTGTCCAATGGCACTCTATAACAGAGGAGAGAGATAGAGAGAGGTGAATAGTGTGAACGAAAATAAATGCAAACAGTGGGTCCCTCTACTAGAGGTGAATAGTGTGAACGAAAATAAATGCAAACAGTGGGTCCCTCTACTATTCACCTCTCTCTATCTTTCTCATGTCTTATAGAGTGCTCTTGGGCACTCTATAGAAAAACCCAAAAGATAAGTAGTACAGTATGCGACTGTTTTGTGTTGAAGAAAGTTAGAGTATTATTAAATGAGGACATGTCTTGATATAGATGCTAATTAAAAATAATTAAATTACTTGGTAGTCTAAGCCCTACAGAAAAGAACATTGTGGGGTCCACTAGAACGATTATATTTCGAGGCTCGTAAAAAGATATGTAGTAAGCAGCGCACAGACGCACAGTATGCGACCGTTTTGTATTGAAGAAAATTTAACTACTATTAAAGAGAACATTTATCGATCAAAGGTGCTAATTAAAAAGTAATTAATTTACTTGGCGGTCTAAGCACTAGAGAAGAGAGCATTACAGGGTTCACAAGAACGGTTATGTTTTGAAACTCATGAAAAGACCCGTAGTAGCTAGCGCACGGTTCGCGACAGTTTCGTGTTGAAAAAAGTTGGGACTGTTGTTGAAGGAGATCATATCTCGACGAAGATGCTAATTAAAAGCAATTAACATACATGAGTAAAAATATTTTTAAGACGATTATGTCTGGAAGCTTGTAAAAGATATAGTTAAAGTACACGGCAGAGTTTGAGTGCTTAGTCCAAGCGAGAAAACAACACAGTTGAATTTGAGCGTACTGTAGAGAGACAAGCTTTTAGCCTGTAGAAAAAGAGCAACTTAATTGTTCTTTTCTTTTTTTTCAAGACATTGAATATTAATAAGTAGGGAAATTTAAAGATTATTCCTCAGACCATCTGCTATTGTTTTTCTTAAAATTCTAGGTAATGAAATTTTGTGCCACTTCTTTTGAGGCTTTAGTTCTGGAAAGTCATAAGAGTCTCATTATTCTTCTGACATTTTGTGCAATAAATATGGATAAAAAGAGTACCGTACATTCATAAAGAAAAAATTTACTTTGGAGACTCAGGGGTTGTTTGGTTCACCCGTTTTGTAGAAAAGTTTTAGAAAATACCTAACAATATCAATTTTATAATTAAAAGTTTTCTATAAAGTATGTTCGGTTTAAAAAATATATAGAAATGTTTTCTATAAAGTATGAAAAAGTACCACATTTTATAGAAATCAACTTCCTCTCAAAATAAAAAGAAATTGGTGAGAAATCTGACGCATTGATTTAAATAATAGTTTTTTACAAACTTGTCCATTTTCACTTCTCAACTCATTTTCTATAAAGTTTAATTTTCCTCTTTTCGTATTTTGAACCAAATAAAGAAAGAGTAAAAAGTAAGAAACACTATTTTTTAAATTTCTATAAACTTTTTCTATAATTTTTTATGGAAATACATGTAAATCAATTTTTGGTACTTTTCCTTTTTTTTTATAAAAATTGAACCAGAGAGCCGCTCAGTGAAAAAGCGTACGGTAACCGATGCACGATATGAAACAATTTTGAGTTGAAGTTAAGCCTAGCGGATAGTTTTTGGACCAAGACTAAAGTCGTTTCTGTATTACAGGTTCTTCTAACCCTCACTCGCTAATTTTAGATTTGATTTTATATTTTAAATGGAAAATATTGTAAACCTATTGCAAATTATTGGAAAATTTTGATATTCTCCCTACTAAAAGTTATTGGGATATTTTGACATTCTTCTATTTAGAAAATATTATCTTTAGGTTGGAGGTGCAGAAAAACCCCAATGCAAGAGTTGGGGGTAAGTTTGCAAATATCAAGATTTAGAAGATAAAGAATTTGAAGTAAAAAGAAATGAAGGAAAATTGATCTGTATTCCTTTAATCTCAGTTACAATTGGATTTCCTGATTACAAAAGAGAGGAGAATAAATTTAATTCTCCCCTTTATTTAATTCTGGGTTCTTCACGGTGGTGATGGAGTGCTTCCCTCGAATGCTCGCGCCGAGTTTACTCTCCATTGACGATCCGAACGTCTTGATTCACTGGAACGGTATCTCCTCCTCACGATTTGACGCTGTAGAGAACTTGCAAAGCAAGTTTTAGAACTCTTGATGAGTTGATTGGTCTTAACCGTAATTGGTTAGACAAGCCAAGAATCTCTTCTTTGCTGCCCCAGAGCCGGATCCAAAAGCCCCCAAAATCCAGCCTCCAAAAATCCCCCTCCCGAACTAAGCTGATTTCTTAGTTATTTATAGGGGATTAAGGGGTGTAACCACCTCCTTAATTCGCTCCTAAGTGGGGCTAGTGGGATGTAACCGCCCCTTAATCCGCTCCTAAGTGGGGGTGGAAATCCCTCAGATCATGGGGAGAAAACGGTTTCTGGAACCGTTCAACTCGTGTTTGAACGAGTCAAACGCAGGTCCTGCATTCTGGAATGAAATCTGCGTTCGGACGCAGTGTTCGCAAGTTGCGTTGGGCAACAGATGGAACCTGCATTGGGCAGCGGTTGGAAGCTGCGTTGGCAGCAGTTGGAAGCTGCGTCGGGCATCGGTTGGAAGCTGCGTTTTGCAGCAGTTGGAAGCTGCGTCGGGCAATGGTTGGAAGCTGCGTTTTGCAGCAGTTGGAAGCTGCGTTTTGCAGCAGTTGGAAGCTGCATTTTGTAGCAGTTGGAAGCTGCGTTTTGCAGCATTTAGGAGTTGTGTTTGCATAGTTTTGACTCTGGAATGAGATCACTTGTGCTTCGCCTCTGGGATGCAGGGATGAGTCTTGCGTCTTGGATTGAAGAGATCGTCGATTTGTAGTCTCTTTCTGTCAAAGCGTAGCAAATATCGTCGTTTTGTAATCTTTGCTTTAGCTC